GAAAAAGACCCCTAAGAACCTTTTCAGATGGAAATTAACCAGAGTCTGTGCTACATTCACAAGGGTTCTACTGCATGTTGTTATTCTGGGTCCTCTGTGCATGCTTTCATGTGTATTTATATTCTCTCTATACCCTCTGATGCAGGTAATTATTTCACATACCATTGATTGTGGAAAATGAATCCAACCAATAGTGTAGAACAATGCATTCAACAGAAATACGAACAAAGGACAGTTAAATACGGTATTACATAAGTCTGTTTTCTGATTTGTAGGTTTAAAATATGTCTCTTTTACTTTGCTTTCTCTTTTTCACTTTTCTGTGCACTTGAAAAACATTAATTTGAGACAGAATATTTAAAGAAACACAATAATAAATTACAGCACTTCACTAAATCCCAGTGAAGCATAAAATTTAGTATGTTGTTTATGTTCTGTAACATGTCATTATTAAACTTTATAAAGCCCATTCTTTACAATTTGTTACACCAAATCCAAATAGCACCACTGAAGACCTGTGGGAGCTGGCATGGTTGATATATTATTGGCAGGGCTCATATACTGTACAGTATATGCCTTACTCTGTAAAGATGCATTAGAGCATTTTAAAAGTCTCATCAAGGCTTTTTAAAAATTACCATAACGGAGTACCCTCAGGGTAAGGTGAAATTACTCTACCCGTTAATTCTCTAGTGCTGGCTGAAAAAAATGTATAATTTTTTATGCAGCCCATTTTAAAACAGAGTACCCAAAAATATTTCAATCAAATTATCCATTTACATTGCAAGTTTATAAAAAATCATTAATGTTTGTTCCAATTCACGATTATCCTAAGTTCAAGAAAAATAGTTTGAATTTTCTCTTCCATTATTTTATTTGATCATTGTTTTAAGGGATACTTTTTGGTAAATTGCTTCATAAAAAGTAACAGATTCAGGTGTACAATATCTTGGGTCTGGGATATTCCAGTGTAAAATCCAGCATGCAAATACTGTCTCGGTGCCCCTTAGGGAGTAAGTATAATATGCAGCTCACTTCTTGAAAATGTTGTTGTATGTGAAAAACAGAAACCATGCATATGGATTTCAATAGTTTTAAGTTTTCCTTGCTTACTTGTGGGAAATGGTAAGAGGTAAATTACGAATAGAGCATTCCAAACCGAGTAGAATTAAGAACTACTGTAGTTAAATCTAAAACTAGTATCTAAATCAAATCTTAAGAGGAAAAAGGTTTAACCTCTTAATCAGTATTTATTGTAAAGTCGATGGAAAATAAAGTGCATTGAGTGGAAAATTTTTAAAAAGATTTAGCTTGCAAACTTCAAAGCAGCATGTCTACCGTGGTCTTCTTAGGAATTCTGTTGGTGACACGTGGAAGCTCAGGGAAGCCAGAAGAAATACAATTTAACATATGTTTAAAATACTGGTGCAGAAAAAAGAGGGGCTTAGGGTTATGAGGCATTGGTTCTTCTAGAATAAGTGAGACGAGCAGGACTTGTTGTACTTGATCCAGAAGGAAACCAATGTTTTGAAACATCATGCACAGTAATTCAGGAAAATTTAAACTAGTGAACTGAGATGCAGGGAGCTAACAACACGCCACTTCTGGTGATAAGTCAGATAAGTCCTAGGCAAAACTAAAAAAAAAAACTTTTAAAAAGATACCCATTCTTAATTACTTATGGTTCTAAAAAAAAAGGTATAAGGAATGCTAGAAACTTTAACATTATAGGAATATACAAAGCTATGGTAAGGGACGATGATGAGCATGAATAGAATGGCAGGATAGATGGGGTGGTAGAATTGAAATCTATATCACAACCTACAAAATAGCAAATACAGAATCCACTGGTGTTCAACTAGAACCTCTTATTTGCTGGTTCTTCTTTTGCTATTATACATTGGAATGTTGCGATAAAAAACAGATTCTGAAATTGGTAGAGTTGCTATAATTAATGGTTACTTTAAATCCACCCTAAAAAAATTTTGAAACCAGTTCTAGGAAAATATATTTTAGATTAAGAGTGTCAAACTCATTGATATATGATGATTTATCATTTGTATTTCTATGTACTTCAAGCAGGCTATACAGTATATACTATATGATAAAGTAATGAAGAATCATGCACAAATCAGTTACTGTACATAGTATTATTTTTAGTGTTTTGCACTCCTGTGTTTATTTTAAAAAGGGACATTCCTCTCTGTAAAACGAAATTAACAGTGATTGCGACTTTATAAGAGCAAATCAACTTGGCGAAACATAATCATTGTCTTCAGAGTATGGGACATTTTTAACATTTTTAAATATAATTCTATAAAAGAGCACAGTTGTGATTGTTGTACACAATGTAAATTTATGTTCTTTTGAAGAGAATATTGTTCAATAACTAGGAGAAATAAATGTACAACTATACAGACCAACACATCACTCAGCAAATGTAATTGTAAGCGAAAAGCAGCTCTTACAGATTTGAATTTGAATTTAAAGAAAGTCTGCTGTATCAATTTATTTTGTACCATTTTCCTGTAAAGACATGGCCATATCAAACTTGATCTACGACAACATCAAACAGGGCTACTATGATTGGACAGAGATGGAGACAGTATCTCAGGGCTCACATGTTAGGAGTCTGTTACAGCAACACCACCATGCAGGCCTAGAAAGGGCATGAACTGATCCGGTCGAGGCTCTGGAGCATCTAATTCACATGCCAAACAAATGAAGTTGGCAAAATGGACCAGCCCACGGGCCACGAGTTTCACAGAACTCTATCAAACGCTGATGGATTATGGAGAAAAAAATCAGAAGTAAGATATAACTCTGCAGAACACATAAAAGTTCCAAATATTCAAAAACATTACAGGTGCATCTAAAGCAGACTTTAGTTTGGATTAAAAAAAACAGAAATTAACATTTAATCTAAGGCAAAATATAATGCAAAGCATTTTTAATACTATAACATTAAAAGAGCTGTAATAACATGAGCAAACAGTTTACGATATATTACAAGATTGATCATATCAGGCAATAAAAATATATTGGATAGAGATGCTGAATATTACACAAACAGTTTTATAGCAGAAGACATTGATAACTTGCTTCACATCACAGAATAAACATTCCTCAGTATTGGGTAATTTTAATTTAACTGACACTATGGTTGTACAGAGACTAGGACAATCAAAAACTAAAACATACTGTACAGGGACCTGGTGATTCAAGTTTGAGTTTATTGCCATACAGTATGTACAGTACAGTACCCGAGTACATGACAAGTGACATATAATGACATTAAAGATGTCACAACAAAGCTTTCTTTGAACCTAGAGGTCCAGGCAGTTTGGGAAGTTTCCTATTCATAAGGAAATGAGGCTTATTATGTTAGACCCCTAGCTACAATATTATAATTAATTTCAGAAAGAGTTACAGAGCTGAACAAGGAAACATCAGACAGATCTGTCTTCCTTATGTTGCTAGCAAAGTTATGGAACCAACAGTTAGTTATACTGAAATAATACTTCAAAAGTGACATTTTAAAAAGTAGCCGACATGGATTTTTATACTGAATAACTTGAATTGTTAGGAGGGGATATCTGATCCAAGTCTGTACAATTCATAGGTTTTAAATAGGATCAAACTGGGGAACTTTTAGATTCAGTAATAAAACAATGACATAGGGACCCTTCTGTAAACTAAAAGAATTTTGAACAGAGAACATGAAAAGATTTGTAAAGGTTCTCATCCAAGTGTTTGTGGCCTAAACTCTGAGCATATGTGCGTCTGATCTAAAGTTTAGCTTCACTTAGCTCTTAAACAACCAAACAAGCAAGTTGAGCCAGATGGCCTCTTCTCATCTACAACTAGGCTGCTGTTCACTGCACAAGTGCAAATGCGTTTGTGTAAAACCCAAACAGAGGCCATTAACTCAACAAAACTGGAGTTTATGAAGTTACGCCATGTTCAAAAGCAGCTATTATATTGTTTTATTTTGCTTTATTTATTTCTTTTGGAAATTTTTATTTCATTTTCTGCATTTGGCTGACCTGCTTAGAGGTGTATGCATTGCATTTTAGGGATGGAAATAATCTACCTTTAAAATCAGAATTTTGAAATGCTTTCAAAACAAGCAAAATGTATTTCCATTTCCTGCATAGAAAAAAAGTAATGTTTAAATGGAAATAGCTGCAAGAGGAAAGATTAATTTGCACTGTGGTGCTCTATCAGAAAAGAATAACACAGTGCTTTTCAAAATAGCTGTACATTATTGAAGCAACATTACCTACTGGTCAGAAAATATGATGTGATACTAAACAGAAATCTAGGAATGTTTATTTAAAACATTTATACATTTATTTAAATTTTCTAAATAAAAAGCAGTTTGTCATCAATAATAATAAAGAGAATATACAATAGCTTACTAATAGCACACTAAGAGTATAAACTTAGTAATTTATGATAACAAGTAGCACAAATTATTGCTTCATTCCACTAAAATGGCTCAGCTCATAGGCAGATAAGATAAAGTAGGCAAATTATTTCAGCAGTACTTAACAGACAGACTCACAGAGTTAAGTTTTTTTAAGTATTAAATTAATAATAAAATACGTATAATATAATAAACTGTTCACTCTAGCTATAACTGGAATAAGATAAACATAAAAGCAAAGTACCATTTCTTGATCTGGTTAACTGCTCAAGCTAATATGATGTTAAAACAACAATTGCAAAAGCAGTTTTCAACATTCTTTCGATAGAACCTCTATACATTTCTTTTCCCTTTTGTTAGAATAAAAATGCCTTCTAATCCTTAAGAACTATTATGATAAGTGAATCCCAAGAGTATTATTTTTTCTGTTATGCCACACAAATAACATAAAGCAAAAATCTGTCCACTCTAAACAATCTCTCAGCTCAAAGTCTGATTTAATTATAATGCCAAAGGATCTATGTAATGCAATCAATGGTTTATTAATGCACTGAAAAATGTATAAATTTACCTCAGACTTCAAGGCCAAGGGCACACGGTCATATTTCTCTATCACAGATGTAGAAATTTTCTCGACGACCTGACATGGTAGATAATAAAGGGTAGAATCAAAAAACAAACTAACATCAGGTTGCATATATTTATACTGTATATACTGCACATCTATACACACAAAAAATGATTTATACGTTATGAAACAAATAAACAAATAATAATAATAATAATAATATTGAATGCTTGTTAGTATTTGGAACAACAAATATGAACATAAATACATTTTGTTTGCAATAGTCAAAATTCCATAAAAATCGCAAAACATAAAATATTGATTACTGCCCTATTTTAAGAGTACATTTACATGTACCGGGTGAAGACCCCAGTTTTAGCCAATTCAACACGCACAATTATATGTGCACAGTTTGTGTACTATTCGCAAACAATTAAACTTAAATGCACACAATTTTCCATGTTCATGTTACCTATAGACACACAATATATAAATACATATTTATAAATGTAACAACTTATTCCTAACATTATGTATATACACATATAAATAATATATGTAGGTGTTTGCATTTCACAATCTGGATATATTTTCAAGTTGGCAAGCAGTGTCTGGTGTGTAAATTGAGTGGAAAAGACATGCCCTCACCGCACATTTTATTTATTGTGAATAGTAGAGAACAGATCAATTCACCAATTGTCTTTATTGCCCAATTTACCCCCCTGGCAGAACTTGCTCACTACATGTCTGAATACACTCTGAAACACAGTTGCTCCTTCATTAAACTGATCTGAGATATTTAATGAGCCAGCCAAGGTGTCCCTTGATAAATATACTGCATATTTGATTTAGGTACTCATTTTATTCTGCCTGGACACTATACAAATTATAGATAAAATTTTATAATAATGTTAGAAAGATCTTATTTAAGTTAATCATTAACATCACACACATTTAAGTTTTGAACATAACAGTTCAATATTGAATTGCAAGGATAGAGCGGGTGGCTTTTTTAGTTGAAATTACTTTCAAAGGCTCTGAAAATCACAAGAGAATATAACAAACTCATTGCCAGCGAAGAGTGTTTTTGGATATTCAAAAAAACCTCTGACATGACATACTGTGCCATCTTCTCCCATATAAAAATGCTTCTATTGTTGTTTAATTATTACTCATTTCAATTAAAAATGGTGACAGGTTTCTACATTCACCCATGTTAAACTCTAATGTAAAAACATCACATTTTGAGAAAACATTTTTGTTGAACAGATCTCATCACAGCAAAAAAAAAAATATATATCAACTAGTTTCTGCAAAAACACATTCTGAATATTCAGGTCTATTACCAGTTATTACATCTATTGTAGTAACTACAAGCAATCTATATTTTTATGTGTAAGGTAAATGGTTCCGTTTTCAACTTCAGGTGATTTGTTTTCTGAATTGATCTGTAAAGTCGCTAACATTGCTTTATTCCAGTTGCATTGGTTTTCTCTCAGGGGACCTTCTTTCCATTTTAAAAAGTATAGCTACAGTCTAAGAATTGGTAGAAGCACAGACTCTTTATTGCACTTGGAATTTTTTCTGCTACTTTTATACCATGACATAGAATTGATCAGTTTAATTTAACAAGCTAAAAGCATACCTAAAACACAATTGAAAAAGTGCACAAGTGGATCCAATCTAACCTTTGACTTTCAACAGGCATTATTTACAGACACTGCAATATCAGTAGGAACTGTAATGCTCAAGTGTGAATGTTAAATCATTACAAGTGAAAATGCCGAAAGTGTCTTTGTTGTACTTTATATTTTGTTAATCTATTCTGCTGCAAAATAAAATATTTGAAAAAAAAACACAGAACATGGTACAGCACTGTAGAATTCTTGGTTTGTATGATATTCTGCATCAGCTTCCAGGCTGGCATTACTGACAAATCTGAGCATAAAAATAAATTAGCACATTTCACAGATTTGATTCTTCTGTTAAGAATGGGCACTTCTTTTTCATCTTTGGTTTTCCTACCTAGTCACTGCATTAGTGAAAGCTATTTACAAAGTACTGATATTACTCATGTGCAGTTCTGCAGCCTGTTCATCTGCAAGGAAATGTGTACCTTCTGCTAGCCTTTAACACTTAACTTCTACTGTCTCAGTTTTACACGTCGGTCAATGCTGTTAAGAGGGGTATAACTTGTCCATCCACAGTCAGACAAAGGCAAACAACTGCAGCAGTAACACATCAGTACCAATCTATAGAATACTAGGCCTCCACTGTTGAGACTTCATCTACTCATTGATATGACTGAAAAATTTAGAGAAATTAAAGACCCTGCTTGAAGGGTACGCAAGAATACACCTTAAAAACAGAAAAGAAATTCCACTCTACTAATCTATTTATCTGTAAAACATACAGTGTTGTACAGTAAATACAACATTTTTTAACACCAAGCTTTCTCTTTGGACTCACTAATATTTTGCAGTATTCTCTGTATTATGATTAAAGTTTAATTAGAAGACAGATTTAAGATGAATATGTAAAAGTAAAAGGTAATATAACTAAACATTTGTGTGATTTAAAAATAAATAAGATTAAACCTTTATAAGGATGTTGGATTCTTTTAAAAAACTTAGTCCTCCATAAATCCCATCTTACTTTCATATTTTGTTCACTGAGCCATTCTGCACGTGTAATTCCTTGTGTCTTTTATTAACCGATTTAATAGAAATAAAATTGTTCTAATAAAAGCATTATTGTTCCAGTATATAATTATAAGCTGATTACACAAAAATTCTAGAAATCTTTATGTCTGAATGCTGCATTAAACTACTTTAGTTTATCAAATAGTGGACCAGAATGGATAAATAGTGCTACAGTACATGCATGAAAATATATTTTACAGATAGATTCAAAATAGTGAGGTAATGAGCATGCATTTTGTAAATCACCAAATAAAAACAAAGTTTCCAATTTGGAAACATAAAACAAATTAAACATTTCTAATCAATTATTTTAATCACGTAAAATTTTCATTTTTTATTGGCCACTTTTATAATATATTGAGATTGAGATGGGTGATGAAAGTGTTGAGGTAACCACATTGTTTTACAAATCCACAGAAAGGGTAAATAAAGTACACAGATAACCCCTTTAACACTAATGATCCACAAAATGTCTACACAAACCAAAATGGAAAAGGCAATTCTTTATGTGAGGTCTTTGTTTTTTTCATTATGTTGTATGATTTCCTCTGTTCAGTGTACTGTGGTTTCTAAAATGAAACCATGCCATAGGTGTATTATAAGTAGGATCTTTGAAAATCATTATTTGATTGTTGAGTACCTCATTATGAATGCATGTAATCGAATTCTATTAAAAAAGAAACCAAAAACAGCATCTGTCACACGTGTATAAAGTAAAAGTAAAAGAAATAAGATACTGCAGGGCCCTCTCCCATTCAGTTCTAAACCAACTAATCTGAAACATTTCTATCAAACCTGTTTCTCATTCTGTCCATCTGTTTTTGTCTATTTGCTCAACAAGAACTGTATAAAAAGTTTAACACTCTGGACTTCTTTATGAGCTACATCTTTAAAATGTTACCATTGAGAGACCATACTGTAACTGGCCAAAACCAGACGGACCTATTTAAATTAATACTGCAAGTGTTACATGCCCCAAGTTCCTCCAAGTATAAAAAATAAAGCAAATAATCTGAAATACCAAGATCTATTCTTTAAGCAACAATGTAGGCAATTCATCTTTTCCTTAATCTGATTTAAAGGAGAAGGGAAAAATGGACTCTGACCTGTAAATCTATAAAGATATCATGGCATTCTGAAAGAAAAATAATTTGAAAATATATTTATAATTCTGCAAGGAATATCGGGAATTGAATATCCCTGATGCTGAAAACGATTCGTTTTTTGGGAGTGTGTGTGTCGATGCGTGTAAACATCTAGATATTGGGTGATATTTCATCGGGATGCGAGTTTGGTCATGTACCGTAGGTTGTTCTTCTGGTTTGTCATAGGCTGTCGCTTCATTACTCTTTACCTTTTGTATTCTGCATTTAAAATAATAACAGATAGGCGACTTTATTTTCCACATAAAGATTAACACAATGTGTACATAGTTGTCAAAAAATAACTAGGCCAACACTGAAAGGTACAGCTACTTTTTAAGGTACAGCAGCTTTTTATAGCACGAAAAAGGCAGTGTTGCCAGCAGATGGAAAGTTTACCTGACAGAAACAATTTGTCAGTTTCAAAAGATTGAATCACTTGCCATTATTCTACTGCATATTAGGAAATATTACTGGCCTTAAACTGTCCATTTAGTTAATAAAAATGGTCCAGAAGGTGCAGTGTGAGAACACACCAAGTAATAGTAATAATAATAATAATAATAATAATAATAATAATGTTTCTTTATTAGCCCTATACAATTTCTTGCATTAGGAATTTGTCTTTTCACAGACTCCAGCTATTCTCCATGGAGACACAGACACACAGACAGGGTGAGAAGCTGGGGGTCAGAGCGCAGGGTCTGCCATTGTACGGCACCCCTGGAGCAGTTAGGGTTAAGGGCCTTGCTCAGGGGCCCAACGGATTAGTACCAGCAGTACCACATCTAGCTCCTTCTGTTGTGAGTGGAGATAGTAACGTTAATGTTCTGCATAAACAAGATGCGTAACTTGGCTTGAATAGAGTACCACAAATTTCCGCAGTTTTAGTAATACTGTATTATTGTTTAAACAACAGCTAATCCAGGAGGCAGAGGACGGACCCAAATAAAGCTTAAACAGTAAAATACTTTAATGGATTAGTAAGGCCCATAAAATATTGCAATTTGTCACAAAAGGAGGAGAAAAAACAAATACACAAATCAATTTACTATTGATTTAAAAAAAAAACTGAAGGAGCTGTTGGATTTCAACTAACAGATAATTGGATGAAAGACAAAAAAGAAAACATTCTTGTATTGCAAAATACTGACACGACCAAAAACCTACAGAGTCTGGTATTTACAAGAGAACCAGACTTATTTTTATGCACTGGTGATATAGGAAG